TTTTCTGATTTCAATTTAATATAAATAAGTATGTACTTATCTAGGCATTCTACATTAGTTTCTCTGTAAGGCATTCTTTGTTCGCTTCTCTGGATTCTGTTTATCCATGCGTTCTCCCTTCGTTTGAAGGTAATGCTGCGGGTAAGGGCTTACCTCCAATGACATGCCCATGTTAAAATAAGGCCTTCTTGAAGCGAAACGGTAAGCGATTCCCATCGCCTAGCTCGTTTCCACTTTCGTTTCTGTGGTAATCGTGTTTTTTGCTGAGCATTGACTGCCGCCTTCCATAAACACAAAAACGAGGGCGAACATCGTATCGAATTGTCTTGCATCGTCTTCGAGGCACAATCAAGAAAATAATTAATGAGTGCTTATACACTCAGATAAGAGTCACCTAAATAAATTTTTCTCAAAACATGATTTGGTAATAGTTACCAGAAATATATTTAGCAGAATTTTTTCTAAGTATAAGGGCACCTTTGCTTGGCGTGATAACATAAATTGCTCTGATACCATTAACTAATGCATATACGAAGGCACCCAGGGTCTTAAGCGAACAATTATTAATTTTAACTCCACTTTGTTATATTTCAGCTGCAGTCCAATTAACATCCAAAGATATTTCGACGAATTTTGGGGATGAAGTATCCAATAAATTCTTCCAACTAATTCCGACTAAAGAAAAAATCAAATTACATGAAACACGGTGCGGACAAATCTAATATGTATAACAAAAATTTCTGTTTATTTATGTTGTTAAAAATTAAAGACGGAATCACAGTTTTAATAAATTTATTAATAACCCATAATTTTCGCACATTTTTTACCTTTTGTTTATTTACATTATAGAATTAATTTCAGATAGCTAGTTTTTCAAATCCTATAAAACTTGGGTCGAAAAAAATTACAATCTCAAGCCACCAGCGAGCTGAAATCTGGAGTGGAAAAATCAATAATTCTCGAAACGCCAACGATTCGAAAAATAAAAATTATAGAATCTCCAACGATTAAAAAAATAAAAATTATAGAATCTCCAACGATTCGAAAAATAAAAAATTATAGAATCTCCAACGATTAGAAAAATTAAAAATTCTCGAATCGCCAGCGATTCGAAGAAAAAAATTCTCGAAACGCCAACGATTCCAAAATCTAGTAATAGTCGATTCGCTAACGATAGGTGACTCTCCTACGAATTCGAATTCGCCGATCTATCGTCGCCAAGTATCGTCTCGATAGTTCTATTAGAGAAAACGAGCTCGTCTCGAATTCGAGGCGAATTCGTTGTGTTTATTGGGTTGTTGATATTTGTTGTGACAATAAGCTAGCATACAAACACGAAAACATCCTTCAGCAGAAACAAAGTGCATCTCAACTCCTTTTTGCTCGTTCGCACATGACCCGTAGCTCCTGGCCGTCGTTTATAAGCGTAACAAAATTTAAAAAGAATTACAATTTATCTCTAGAGATTTAAATTTTTTAGCAGGGGGGTGGAAAGTGTATGGTAAAAAGTCATAATACCTAATTTATGTGTTGAAAATTTATTTTATTACTTGACAGTGCTCAACATCGAATAAAATTAAGTTATATAAAGGCGTATTCTGCAGAGAGGCTGTATATTTTTATACCCGAGCGCACTTGTGCACAGGGTATTATAACTTTGTTCGCATAACGGTTGTTTGTAACAGCCTAAAGGAATCGAGATAGATATAGACAAATGTATACATAAATGATCAGAATGAAAAGAGAAATCGATTAAGCCATGTCTGTCTGTCCATCCGTCCGCCTGTCCGTGTACACGATAACTCGGGCAAAAATTGAGCTATCTCAACGAAATTTGGTACATAAAAAATAATAAAATGTAAAAACTATCATATTTCAGTAAATATTGGATCCAAATTGTTCAAAATCAGTATGCAAAGTAGAATTTTGGTGCAAAATAATATTATTATGAAGTTTTTGGAAAAGGTGCGGGACTTCGCCCACTTATGATGAAATACTGTATCTTAGTAGCTGCTTCACCAATCCTTACAAAACTCGGTAAGAGCCTTGCTTAAAATTTAACTAAGAAATTTGTTGAAAATCTTTGAAATCGGGAAATATCCACGCCCACCTCCCATATGACGATATTTTACATAAACACGAGTAACTGCTGAAGGGAATTGACTCAAAATCGATTATTGCAATGACCACTGACCAAAAAAAAAATTTATTATTATAAATTTTTGGATTTTGGGCGTGGCTCCTCCCACTTATGACCAAAAATGTGTATATCGGTAACCGATTCATCGATTTCTACCAAACTCTGTGCATTTAATAACCTTGGTACGAAAAAGCAGTTCGTTGAAAATGATTCAAATCGGACTAAAATTGGACCGGCATCCCCTATAACAGTAATTTTGGGATATACGAAAACTCCGATACTTCAATAACTGAGGACGTACATTTACTCCAAGCTAATACTTACAACAATAAATAAGACTGTTATAGACTTTTAAGTATTTTATGGAAAGTTGGAACGACGAACCTGCGCCGGGTATATAAAATTCGGCTTCGCCCGAACTTATACTTCTTTACTTGTTAAAACTAAAAAATAACTTGCAGTGTCTCTATTGGCTTCAATTGAATACATGAGTTTGTTGGTTTCACCAGCAAACTTGCATGCCGAAAAACTCGTACATTTATAATAGCTCTATTTTCGTGTTCCTCAGCAATAAAAAATCATATCCAGTAACGTATCAGTAACCAAATTTCTGAGAATAGACCAACATTTGAGTAGTCCACTTGCAAACAGCGTTATGTGATTTTATAATAGAAAGCCATAAATTTGAAAAAAACGACTACCACAACAAGTAACATTTAAATTGAATCTTTTTCATTATTACTTAAAATTTTCGATAAATAAGAGACTTATAAAATTACAACATTACATAACATGACAAAAGATAACATTAACAGTCTATACGACCTAAAGCAGTTTTCTAAGTTCATCATAAGATGGATACTTTTGAAAGTTTATAAATAAGTATGATAGCGACTTTTGGAAGACGCGTTAACATTTGATGCTATTTTTTCAGAATATAAAAATATTTTGCACTGTGTTGTTAGTGGACATGAAACTACTTTATATACAGGTACGTAATCCACCAAAAACTAAAAATCTAAAAAATTTTACATAGCGCAATTTGCATGTGGACTACTCATTTTTTCTAAGCGAGAGAAATTTGCAAGAAAGCTCGTAAACGCAAGACCACCCAGTGGCGCAAATGCACATTACGTAATCAAACACTCCTTCAATATTTCGAAGACAGTATATCGGAATGAATCGATTACAACCCAGATTACTTTGTCATAAGCATAGCCGCTTTGAGGTTAACGTCCTTTACATACTGGTTTGTTTGTAATCGGAAAGTATGATGTGACCGAATACTCTTCGGGCGTTCATTACAATTGCGTTTCGTTTCTAAATTGTAATGCACATTGTAAGCAGACTGCCTACTCGAGTTGGATTTTTTAGTTCACTTTAAAGATTAGTTCACGTCTAGTTTTTCAGCTCAATGAAGCTCTTCTGAGTCTTAGTTCCCGGATTTTGACAATATTTGGGAACTGTTACCAAGGATTGGGAACTATTACCATGGGTTGGTAATTATAACTAAATATATTAAAGCTTCTAATATTTATCTAGGTTGTACCAAATCGTTAATTTAATTGAAGGGTTTGGTAAATACTTATAAATATTTTTTTGAAGCATATTTCTACAAATTCCATTCAACTTAACGTATGGTTCATAAAAGGATGTCATTAAGCTCTGCTAATGCAGATAAGCTTTTTTTTCAACAGATGGTTTAGTCATAGTTACCAAATCTTAGTTGAGGCAACCACGATTTGGCTTGAGAGCGGAACATATTCATGCTTGTGAGCCACCCCTAAATAAAGCTGAGCGCTCTCTGAGCACATGTGTGTTTCACATACGAAGAGCGCCAGCTGAGCAATGCACACAGTCCCACTTATTGAATCATTTGAATGCACTAGTATGCCGACCATTGCATAAAAACGATTCAATGAATGAGACTGTGTGCGTGGAAATCATTGCTCCGCTACCGCTGTTCGTATATGGGTGAAACACGCGTGTGGTAACAGAGCGCTCAGTAAGGCACTCGGCACATTACGCGCCTAACAGCGTTGCCACTTTGGTAAATTATTACCAAAATTGGTATAAACTATTTGGGTTGGTAAAAAGGTAAATTTTTGTTCATTTTAGTAGATTTTTGTTAAAGTATTTTGTTTGAAAAACAAATAAAACTTCTCGTTACCGCTTTATTTCTCGTAATTATCTTTATATTATAAATTTCTTTCCACATTGTTGGTTATAATAAAATTCCATCGACTATTAAACTGCATACTGAAAAATTCAGATTAAAAAACTCGAAACTTAGAGAAAAATTTTTGTAATTTTTCTAAATTTTGTATATAGCTTGATTCCTTGATTTTTTGGGTTTTGGTTAAATCGCAAAAAAAAACCAAAATAGCAATAAAAAAAAATTACTTTGACAATATTGTGAATATAAAAAAATCACCAAGGTCTTTTTTTGAGTCACTGTATTTGTCTATAATAAATCCAGTTAAAGTTTTTTTCTAATCATGAAGTTTCGCTGTTGCCCTTGTTTCATCACTTTCGCTTTTGTTTGAAGGAAACCGAGAAGATGTCATTAATATGATTTCAAGTACCATATCAATAGTTAAATAAAAAGTTCCTTAATAAAGAATTTTAATTTCTATTGAAATAGAACAAAACTATAGTTTTTATTAAAAACGCTAAAATAAAGTTATTGGTAGATATTTTCCAGATTTGGTAAATTTTTTTCATGTGGATGGTAAATAGTTTTTTAACCAGTTGCAACCCTGGCGCCTAATCAAAGTAGAGTAATCGTTTCGTCATACCGAAACGAATGCATGACGACTTGGCTTCTGTACACTTGCACGCCGCACAGTGCGTAATTTGTGTGATTTAGGGGAAGGAAAATCGAAAATCGAAGTTGGTAAAAAAAGTTCAGATACGATATGTGTGCGTATAGATGTCTGATATAATAGAAAATCGGTTCCCAATTGTTAGAAGATTACCTGGAAGAATTCTGAGCTTGTGCAAACGTGCCTGTTTTGACGAACGAAAATCGCCAGTTTTCCGGCCTTTATCAATCAGTGGTCATATCCGTATCATTTCATAACGAGACTGCAGTCTTGAGTATACCTTGCATTTTACACATTGTAAACTTAATTAAAAACATTGTTTTGAAATTTTAGACGTCAACCTTACATGTCAATTACGCTCCTTTAGATTAAAAAAAAAGGGATTTCGGTTTTTTCATATAAGCATATAAATTGTTTGACAGCGTGTGACATTTGGATCTATTCAGGAACCTTTAACTGGACATCTGTATATCAAGGGTTTTAAATAAAACACGCAATTTATAATATAAATGTATATATATGTATGTATTTGCTACTAAACGCGTAAATTCACAGAGGAAATAAAGAGCGAAGTGTACAAGTACAGGAGCAGCTTGAGACTGCGACTTTCAATTTTACCTAAACGACTAATAAGTTGTATAATATACATAGGGTTGCCATGCAACTTAAATACAATTTCAACAAAGGGCCAATAGTAAGAATTTGCACAAAATTGCACAATTAAAAAAAAGCCGATTTAAAGTCAACCTTCGGTTAAAAAAAACGGGTTTTTGTGTATTTTTGGTGACAAAAAATTAGTCATTGGGATTTTTCTTATTTTGAGGTATGGCAGCTACAAATCTCAAATCAAATCAAATCGACCTTAAGGTGAAGAAACACAAATAATAATTTAAGTTTTCTTTTTTTTTGTTTTGATTTCTGTATATTTAGTTCTTGTAAAACACTATAGTTAATACAAAAGGTAAAAACTGTCAGCCAAAATGGTGCGAAGATATTAGAAATCAAATTATATAATTATATTTATATTTTTTGTGAATATATGCTTACTATGTATGTAATACATATCGCAAATATTAACAAAATCAGTCAGTCGGCGCCACCTAACGGGTAAATTTTGTGCAAAAATATTCCTGCACATGCAATCAATATGGGGCTGTCCATATATTACGTAAGGGAGTTTTCGCCTGTTTTGAACCCCCTCCCCTCACGTAATAAATTGTAAGATTTAATTGATCCCCCTCCCCCCGCCGCAGATCTTACGTAAGTTTAAAAATCCCCCTGTTTTTTCAATTGAATATTAGAAAATACTATATATTTCCATCAAACAAATATAGGATGTATGCCTAGTCAGTCTTAAAAGCTTCATTACATAGTTATACTAGTCATCCTTTTTTGTCGGTTTCTTTGGTCCACGGTCCAGCCAGCCAGGGATATCTCGTACATCTTTTTCATTCAAAGGTATTTAATTTTCACAGTCCACTAAAATTTCTTCTTGATTCACCCACTCAACAATATCCTATCAACCCAACGAAAGCTAAATGGCATTTTTAGTGAAAAAGTGTGAATGTGTTGTGAAGATTGTTTCATGTAAACGCCGTGTAAGAAACGTATCGTAATTTGTTTGAAGTCACGGTAGAAGTGAGGGTCACAATAATGTTCGAACTGCATTTTTCGGTTATTATAGACACCGAAAAGTAACGTTTTTTTTAGAAAAATAGAAAAATTAAAGCAAAAGTTGTAAAAAATTGTAATATCCTCCGTATTTAATGTATATTTTTCATTTCAATGCAATTTAGTACTTTAATTGGGTGAATATTCGTATTTTATAAAGAACAATTTTGAATAAGAATACAAGAAAAATAATATTACGTAAGAATCTACGGGACGCCCCCTCCCCCCATATAAGAAAAAGTAAGAAAATTCTAGACCCGCCCTCCCCACAAAGGTCTTACGTAATATATGGACACCCCCTATACGTGGAAAAATTAACCCAGATTCAATCATACCTAACAGAGATATATCACTTTTAATTTTTGACTATAAAGACCCTCCCCTGGAAATGCCCATATAAAATATGAGACTTAAGGAATCAACCACATCCTTTGAAAGCGTAATTATACAGTCTATTAGAAGTACATAACTAAAAAAAGATATATTCTAGAGTCAAAATTGTGGGAGCTATGATTTTCCTTCCCCTAAATCGCCGAAATTACGCACTGTGCGCCGTGCATGAGTCACCAGCTAATAGACGCTTTCTACACATAACAAATTTTCTGGCCGTTCTTTCTCAACTACGCACTTCCGCAAATATTTCTGCTCCGAAATATTGCATAAACGCTTGTGGTTTAATACAATTTGCACGAATTTTAACACGAAATCATTCATTTTCAATTATTTTCTATTGAATTGACAAATATATTTTATTTCCAACACAAAAAAGTAAACAAATTATGATTTCAAAACTGCAAGCGCCTTACAATGTTGGGTGCTTCGATTCATGAAGCTTTTATGATTAGGCGAAAACAAGATTTTGAATCGTAATGTACAGAGCTTCATTGAAATACATGTGTTCGGCATAAAAGCTTTATACTTTAGTATGCCGAAACGATTACACTACTATGATTAGGACCTTAATGTGCGGAGTGCCTAAGCTATGGCATGTCGATCACTGCGCTAGGTAGAGAGAAAAGTGTGTGCTATGACATGCCCAGACTTGTTTGTCTCAGTTTCAGTTTTGCCATCGCCGCAAGTTCTTTCGGTGTGCGCTTAGTTATTTAAAAATATAAAGTTTGATGCCAACCGGGGTTTCTCAGTGGTTGTATAATTCATGTGAATTATAATTTGAAAGTACCTATTTAGCCAAGGAAAAAGCAAAGCAGTATACTTAAACCAGAAGATATTCACCTGAGTTTTCACACGACTGTTCCTGTTTCATCGTTTCTTTTTAGGAAATTCTTACCGCCATATACATATGTATCAGAGCTGTGTAATGATTGAATCAATCGAGTGTGCATTCTCATTTTATTCATTTAAAAAATGTGATTGTTTGATTTAAAAAATTTAACAACCATTCTTGAGATTGGTTACAAATTGAAACACAAAATATGTAGTGTGTTATGGAATGGTTGATATCCATTCACAAAGAGAATGTGAATGCAAACCAAAAACTCAACCATGTATGATTGTACGTTTATGGGAATGCACTTTGTCATTATCATTCAGTACTAATCCTATTTTTTGTATCAGGGTTAAGATTTTTGTACTCAAAATGTGAAACCAGAAGATTCAAATAAGTAAACAAATAAATATTGTTATGGGTTACTGTTCGCCGCACAAAATATAAATACTTTATTCTTCGGCGTATAGCGCACCCGGTAGCGTGCCATAAATTTCACCATCTGATAATTTTTCTAGAGCGTATGGCAACACCAAAACTGCATGGAATGTCTGCCATTTTGCGATAGCTGTGTTCCCTCCGGACGGGTGTCACTAATTGTCACTAGTTCCTCAGGTCTCTTCGCCTACTTTTTTTTGGTTAATAAAAGTTTACCAGCGGAGGCTAGTGATAGTTGGTGACAGCTGTATGTAACTGTGTCTTCACAGCATGGAATTTATAACTTGACACATCTGTTGGAATGTGGGGGCACAATACATATCAGGGCTTATATCTTGGCATCTATTGCGATAACTTGGTAATTTGACAGCTATGTTTCCCTTTGTACTAAAACATACTGGCGGAAACATTATCGATATTCCGATATAGTATTTGGGCAACCGGTAACTTTTATCCATGGTGAGACGGCGGGGGAAATTTGCTACGGTGTACAAATAAATAATATCTGGCTGTGCCAATCGAAAAGAAAAAATTTTGACAGTTGGGGGAAAAAAAACCCACACAAACGCTTGTGCAGAAGTCCTATATGGTGTGTTGCTGAAATTGTTAAATTTACATCTCTTTTTATAACTTGCAAGTAACGTACGTTCTTTTGTTTTATCCATTCCATTTTGATTTTCATTTTTTATTACCGCCAACAATATTCTGCCTTATCCTGAGTTTCGCCCAAAATGGTTCATCCGCCCATAGTAAATACATGGAAACCAAAAGTTGAAAAGTGAACCGGTTCGGAAAAAAATTAAACTCATGATAAGGCTGATTACATTTAGAAGCTGTCAAATTTTACCTAGCACATGAGCTAGATAAAATTCTGACGTTCGTATTCACCACAAAACTGTCAAATTAGTTACCTTTTTTTTCCGGGGGAAAAAAAATACTTGAAAAGGAGTCACGGCAACCCCGGGATTTTTTTGATATTCCTCCTTGCACTGCGGCAAATTCCATTTGGAAGAGTAACGGAACTAGTCCAAATGACGCAGAGCCCGTTATTCTTCCAAATGGAATATTCCCGAAATGCAAGGGTATAAAAACCTGATGGCAACCTCACAGTCGGCCATTAGCAAAATCGTTTTTATAAACTCGGATCGGTCAACTAGAAAAGCAAGCAAAAAGGGACACGTTTTTGTAAAACAAAATTTAAAAATAATTAAAAAAGAATATGAACAATAGTGCTAGTGAAGTGAAGAAAAGGGAAGGAAAATCAAACCCTAAAGTGATAAGTGAAAAAAAAAACTAAAATAAAATAAGCCACTGGGTGGAGGGCAGCCATACCATCATCCAGTACCCAAACTGTACGGAAGGCTCAGCTACAGAGCCCCATCACCAACTACAAGCACGATCCCGCCAAACGACAACCAGCAGCTTCCGCAGCAGCCGAAATCCAGGTAAGTCTTCTTTAATACAAATAACCATAAGTTGTGTAATGAGCTGCTCTGGGTACTTCTGGAGGATTTCCTCGCTCCAAAGCACTTTACCTTAGTTGAGAGCACGATTTTCTGCTCCAGCTTCTTATTTGAATGAAGTAACTTGGAGCAAGCAAACACACACGTATGCTGTACAATTTACGGCATCGACGAATCCAGTGTCGAACAGCCAATGGGGTTTTGGTTATTTGTACAATGATTTTGGGGTGCTGTGGGCAGACGCGCGACCCAAATCCAAAATTTTAACATACACGTGTAGGCAAGGAACTCAACTTCAATTTANATCAACTTCAATTTAAAACTAAAATTCGGTGTTTTTTTGCAGCTATTCCATCCGACTCAACAACCGCCCAACGAGCGGCAACCCAGCGCGCCAAGGCCAAAACCACCGCCCAAAGAGCGGCAGCACCAGCGAACCGCCTAGGGAGCGGCAACACAGCAACCGCCTCAAATAGCGGCAGCACCAGCGAACCGCCAAGGAGCGGCACCAACAATGACTACATCAACAACCGGGGTGAGCCCCCGGGTAACCAGCGCAGCCAAAGAGCGGCATACCAGCGACCGCTAAGGGAGCGGTCCCCAAACAACCGCACAAACAGCGGCACACCAGCGACCGCCTCAAGAGCGGCACCAGCGCTACCGCTCAAGAGCAGTAACCAGCGACCGCCCAGGAGCGGCATAAGCAACCGGGGTAAGCACCCGGGCAACCAGCGCGCCAGCAACCGACCAAAGAGCGGCAACACAGCGACCGCCTAAGGGAGCGGCACCAACGACCAAGAAGCGACACCAAGCAACCGCCAGCGCGGCACACCAGCGACCGCCCAGGAGCGGCATAAGCAACCGGGGTAAGCACCCGGGCAACCAGCGCGCCAGCAACCGACCAAAGAGCGGCAACACAGCGACCGCCTAAGGGAGCGGCACCAACGACCAAGAAGCGACACCAAGCAACCGCCAGCGCGGCACACCAGCGACCGCCCAAGGAGCGGCACCGGCAACAACAACATCAACAACCAGGGTGAGCACCCGGGTATAAACAGCAACCGGGGTGAGCACCCGGGTCAACACAGCGAACCGCCCAAGCGGCAACTCAGCGACTGCCTAAGGGAGCGGCAACCCAGAGCGCCAGCGGAAGGGGAATTGCCATTCAGCAACCGCAGAAGCGGCAAACAACAACCGGGGTGAGCACCCGGGTCAAACCAAGGAGCGGCACCAGCAACAACAACATCAACAACCGGGGTGAGCACCCGGGTATAAACAGCAACCGGGGTAAGCACCCGGGTAACCAGCGACCGCCTAAGGGAGCGGTAACCCAGTGCGCCAGAGCGCCAGCGGCCGCGCAAGGAGCTGGAATTCAGCGACCGCAGAAGCGGCAAACAACAACCGGGGTGAGCACCCGGGTCAAACCAAGGAGCAGCACCAGCAACAGCAACAACATAACCGGCAACAACAACCACAGCAGTGCACCACCAAGGCCTGCTGCAACATTAGGGTGAGTCCTTCGGGCCTAAAAATCTCTTACTAAATCAAATTTTTTTTAAAGAAATTTAAATAAGCAAAAAAAAAATAAATAAAAAAATTTGTAAAACAAAAAAAGGAAGAAACTAAAATTAAAAAAAAATAGAACCTTTGGGGGAAAGAAAACTAAGAAATTAAAGTAACCTAAAAATTATTAAAGGAAGAAACGGAATTGAGTTTGTAGAGATAGATTACCTAAATCAGGGAATTAGGTAAAGAAACAAAATCTAACTAATATTGAAAAAGGGGCTGTTCGCATTGTATGTATGAATATTATTCTTCTTCTTATTTGGCACTAAAACCGTTTGTCGGTTTGGGCCGAGACCAAAAAGCTTTTCCAATTGCTTCTCTCCTGCGCGAATTTGCGTCAGTTGGTTATCCCGAGCGCAGACAGGTCCTTCTGCACTTGNTGCCTAAGGGAGCGGCAACCCAGAGCGCCAGCGGAAGGGGAATTGCCATTCAGCAACCGCAGAAGCGGCAAACAACAACCGGGGTGAGCACCCGGGTCAAACCAAGGAGCGGCACCAGCAACAACAACATCAACAACCGGGGTGAGCACCCGGGTATAAACAGCAACCGGGGTAAGCACCCGGGTAACCAGCGACCGCCTAAGGGAGCGGTAACCCAGTGCGCCAGAGCGCCAGCGGCCGCGCAAGGAGCTGGAATTCAGCGACCGCAGAAGCGGCAAACAACAACCGGGGTGAGCACCCGGGTCAAACCAAGGAGCAGCACCAGCAACAGCAACAACATAACCGGCAACAACAACCACAGCAGTGCACCACCAAGGCCTGCTGCAACATTAGGGTGAGTCCTTCGGGCCTAAAAATCTCTTACTAAATCAAATTTTTTTTAAAGAAATTTAAATAAGCAAAAAAAAAATAAATAAAAAAATTTGTAAAACAAAAAAAGGAAGAAACTAAAATTAAAAAAAAATAGAACCTTTGGGGGAAAGAAAACTAAGAAATTAAAGTAACCTAAAAATTATTAAAGGAAGAAACGGAATTGAGTTTGTAGAGATAGATTACCTAAATCAGGGAATTAGGTAAAGAAACAAAATCTAACTAATATTGAAAAAGGGGCTGTTCGCATTGTATGTATGAATATTATTCTTCTTCTTATTTGGCACTAAAACCGTTTGTCGGTTTGGGCCGAGACCAAAAAGCTTTTCCAATTGCTTCTCTCCTGCGCGAATTTGCGTCAGTTGGTTATCCCGAGCGCAGACAGGTCCTTCTGCACTTGGTCCTTGGAGGTACTTTGTCTTTCCCTCGTTCACCGCTAGACCAACCTCTTTAGCTTCTTTTTCTAAACTGGAAAATGCTGCGGTTACGTCCCTTTGTTTCAGACCTACGATATCGATATCATCTGCATACGCCAGCAGCATCGTTCTTTTGCTATATATGGTGCCGCTGCGATTCAGATTGGCAGCTCTTATTACGCTTTCCAGTATCAGATTGAAAAAGTCACACGAGAGTGAATCGCCTTGTCTAAAACCTCGTTTGGTCTCAAACGGCGCGGACAGGTCCTTCCCAATTTGGACGGAGCTGAAGGTTGTGCTCAACGTCACTCTACATAGCCGTATTAGTTTTGCGGGGTTCCCAAATTTGGACATGGCGTCGTACAAGTAGCTCCTCTTCGTGCTATCAAAAGCAGCTTTAAAGTCAACAAAAAGATGGTGTGTGTCGATTTGCTTATCTAGTGTCTTCTCCAGGATTTGACGTGCTGTGAAAATCTGGTCAATGGTGGACTTACCAGGTCTGAAGCCACACTGATAAGGTCCAATCAGCTGGTTCGTGAACGGCTTCAGTCTTTCACATAGTATCGTCGACAGGACCTTATATGCAATATTAAGAAGGCTTATTCCGCGATAATTGGCGCAAACGGCGGGATCTCCCTTCTTGTGGATTGGGCAAAGTATACTGAGATTCCATTCTTCGGGCATGTATTCATCAGACCAAATTCTGCTTAAAAGCTGGTACATACGCCCCACCAACTCTTCGCCACCGGCTTTGAACAGCTCAGCCGGTATACCGTCGGCTCCGGGGGCTTTGTTGTTCTTAAGCCGCTTTATTGCTGTTCTCACCTCGTCTTGGTCCAGTTGAGGGACGTGAGCTTCGTCCCTATATGTATGTATGTATATGCATTGCCTTAAAGAAATTTATACACACGTACATACAATGTATGTAGCAATGTAGGTGATTATAAGTGTGTAACATATACGGGTACCTATGCATATACATGCATGCATGCATAGTTATTACATACATATCTGAAACAAAAATCCTAACTCGATATAGGAAAGGGTATAACTCCTAAAGGAAAACACAGACATAGCACATTAGTAC